CGGTTTGAGGCTACACAAAGTTGTTCACTTTTAAAAGGACCCCAGAGAGCTCCAGGAACAAAGGCCAGGCGTAGAAGATTTTTGGTTTGAATAATGGATTTTAGATAAAGCAGCCCTGCAACATGCTGTGCCTTTCCCATTGTGTTTGGTATGTGATGGATTCTCCAGGCCTCTCTGATTTCCCTAGAAGCAGTAAAACCACCATGATATAAACAAGCAGTAGCAGATGAAGACAGGATTGGTGGGCTGAGGTTAGATCTGATGGTCCATCTTGCTAGGCTGGTGGTTTCCAAGCTGAGCTAACCTCCCACGTTGCTGGCTCATATTCTCCTTCCCCATGATTTCAGTAGAAGTAGGTCACATTTACTCTTAAGCTGAGCCTTGAAAAGAGGATGGGTTTGACCTGCTTTATAAAAAGATGTCTTTGGCATTTGTGTTGGTTTTGGGGAGATGGGAATGAAGGAAATTTCTGCTTATTGAGCAAAACATGCCATTACTCCTTCCAATATCTAAAAAGGTGACCAGAAAAATGACCCTGCTGAAGGTGCTGCTATTGGCTGGTTGTGTGGAAGGGAAGGGGTTCATAATCAAAGCACTATTATGATTTTTGGAGAGAAGTTGCCTAAAAAATCTATTATTGACAGAGACACATCAGGACTTCCCATGTGTACAACTTACTATCCAAAGTTTGAGGAGCTCCAAGAATACAGCTTGCCCTTACTGCTGTTTTTAAGGGAACCTAAGCAAGCTGTAAGAACAGCCAGTCTGGGCCAGACCAAATGTCCTTTTAGCCCTGTTCTCTGTCTCCTACATGCCCAAGAACAGATGATTAGGGAAGAGTTAAGAACACAACAAATATAGAATAAATAGGTATATCTATCTACATGTCTATCATCTAGTGGTTACTCAGCAGTGCTGTATACCCTCTCCCAACATTCAGGAGCTTGTGGGTCAGTGAAGTGAAACACACAACAGACAGATAAACAGCTGGTGTTTAACCACACTGCCTTCCTCAAAGAGTCAACACCAGCCAACCCATTCCCCTTTCTTCCCTTGCCCTACTGTCTCTCTTTAAACACCATATGGAAAATAAACAAAGCAGAGCTGCCTGGTCAGGGTGCTGGGGTGAGAGGCCACAAATCTCTCGGTTTATCTGTTCAGAGGCAAAGAGACTTTCTGAAGATCCAAGGTACAATGAGGATGGGGGATGCCCGTGCACATCTGCTGGGGAAGGCATGGGAGAACAGGATTTTCCACCATCTCTGCTGCACTGGTGATGGGTTATTTTGAAAGCAGAATAGGAGAGAATATTTAGGCTGTGGTGTAGTGGTGGCTTTCAGCACTGCCTGAAGGCACAAAGAAAATTGTCTGATCTTCCCATGATGTGCTGCTAAGACACCTTTCCACAAAACTTCTTCCTACCCCTTGCTAAACCGTTGTCTTCTACAGACTGTGTCCAAGACATAGTTGTTCACGGCAGATCAAAGCTATCAGGCAGGTATTTGAGGAAACATGCTTCAAGAGCTAGCTGCAGCCTACCTGCCTAAGGAGAGGACATTAATTTTCAGGGCTGTCAATCCGGTGTCCTTCAGCAGTGCTAATTTTCCGTTAGAAAACAGCCCAAGAGCAATTGCTCCCTGGGCAGTTACGAGCTGCTAGATAATTCTCCTAGCTCCGATGGCTTTATCATACTTTGATAATTTCAAAAAGCAGTTTAGGGCTGCTCTGTGTGAAACAATCCTATTTATATGGTTCAGGAAAAGGTAGCAAAAGACACAAACACTCTCTGGGGCCCTCTGTTTGCTTCTTTGGTCAATCCCACAGTGGCTAAAATGAGAAAACTACACACCTAAACAAACATACATGGATATATATATATATATCTGCGTGTGTGTGTGTGCATGGACATGGGTGTTTATTTAGGTGTGTGTATCTCTCTATATAGCTGTCTATAGATATAGGCCTATTTCTAGAGATAGTAATGCAAAGATATATATATATATATATATATATATATATGTAGTCACAGACAGGCAGTATTTTTTTTTTTCCTAATGCTTTCTAACGCGTAGTTTCTCTGGTTACATCTGCTCGGATGCTGTCCTACTCAGAGTCAGCCCACGATCTTCTTTCAAAATGTTGGTTAAATGCAGCTGTTACTGGTGACGCAAAGATGCTGTTCCCCAGTGGGGGAAATAATAATAGAAAACAATCCCTCTCTAAAGATGACTAGTCTATCTTGCCAAATTGCCTGATTCTGACATCTCTTGACATATTTACTTCAAGAAGAAAAAAAAAACACCCAAAACCCAACAAAGGAAGGTTTATTAATACCAACGCTTCAGAGCCATGCTTGGGTGTGAAAGACGAGAGGCCTTCCTTGCTCTCTGAATGTCATCACCCAACAGAGAAAAAAAGAAAATAAGGTTGCTCCTTTTCACTTTTATTTCCCAAATGCTTTTCATACCAGAAGGCCCAAGAGACCTGCAGTGGATGGATATGCATTGCTTCACTTGTCACTAAAATGTAGACACCTCTATGGAAAAACAAGGCAACTATGTGACAGCATGCAACATCACTACGAGGTGAATGCAGAGCTGGACTCAGGAAAGCCACCTCTTGCAAATTCAAGGTTAATAAAAATAATAATGAATAATAGAATGCGGTTGAAAAGCATTTGTTAATCAAGATATAATTCCAAAGCTGGGGGAAACTTCCATTCTTTCTAATGCTCTTTGCATTGGGCAGGTGTCACTTACGCAATGCCATGTTGTTTATTTAATCTGAACAATGATGACGGTTTAATTTGTCTCACCATTAAATGTCATTAAATTCACCTCTGTGTGGCTAGAATGGAAAACTCATGGCAAAGATGATGGAGCCTTGTGTACAGAATAATGAGGGTGATAATACTGGGACTGTTTATTAAAACAGCTCATAAAGGGAGAGGTCATGAGGAGCAGTGGTTTTCCAAGTAAGAGCAGAGGTTGAGAATAAAAATGAAGTGTTCTGCATCATGACAGCTCATCTAATGTCTTTCCATTGTGAGGCACAGTCCAAGTGCCCTGTCTCTGCAGTGACCACCTCTACACTCAGGGGACACAGACAGATACATGAAACCCAGCACAACAGACTTTGTTTCAACTTTTTTTACTAGCCTGGAATTGGAAGGTCTCTATTTCTTCCTTGTGCTGGTAACAAATGGACCACTCTGTTCTTCTTTGTACCCTTCCCCTACTGATTTACCTTGACCACGTCCTAGCTGCCAGCATGGGAGGTTTAAAAGAAAGGACATCCTTTCTCTGGGGGAAGCCTAGGAGACGTGCTCAGGAGAGGTCTGCAACAGACGACTCCCACCTCAGGACATGACAGAGAGGTGGGACAGGGGAGACAATGACTTCAGAGAGATCAACAAGCTCTGCAACTTGGTAAAGCTCTCCGTGTGAGCAGGATGCTCAATGACTCCAACACCTACTGCAGAAACTTCCCAGAAATGACAGGCTAAAATAGTTCTTTCCACTGTATGGAGTGGGAAAAGTTGGGACCCCACCAAACTTGTTCTAAAAGCGAACGTCATCCAACACTGAGACAACACGCTTTGCTATTAAGTAGCTGGAGCAGCACTTGTGTATACAGTCTTGTCTGCTCCTTGACTGCGTGATATAATGCAAACAGATGCTCAAATAACGTCTTTCCTCACTAAACAACTTCATTCATATGTTGCTCCACCGTTGAGAAAAAAAAAAAAAACACAAAAACAAACAAACAAAAAGCTATGCTGTTGTTGGGTTTAGAATTAAGAACATTCTCCCAAAGGGACTGTGTATCATCTTCAAGTCTGCTCCCCACTGTGAAGCTTGTGGTTAGATCTTTATCTCCGACTGTCTGAAAATAACCCTTGCTGCAAATGATCAGTCCCTAATGCCATAGCCCATATTCAAGGAGGACATCTTCCAAGCACCGCTGAGAAACCAGAAGTTTCTGCTAAATTCCTTGCAAATTACAGAAATAGAGCAGCAACCGCATGTGGGAGGAAATGTCTTTCTCTGTGAAACAAGAAGGTCACATCCTCTCAGGTGACTCCGCTGACAGCTTTGATGTCATGTTAGCATGGAATTGCTTCTGTGATGCACTCAGCTTGGGAGTCGTTCAAAAGTATTACAGAGCCCCAGCTGGGCTCAGATGCAGAAAGAGAGGTAGGAAATTTCTGACAGCTACTCTTTTGTCAGTTGCCTGAATTTGTGTAAAAGTTTGTGTAAAAATTTGCCCATAGATCTGATGTATGGATAGAAATTTACTTTTTTTTTTTTATGTGTGTGTGTGTGTCCCAGGAGCACACCAAACCCTCTCCATATGTTATGAATCCCTTTTCTAACTTTGCACTGGTGTCCTACTTTCAGAGTTACACCAGAATTAGTTCAAGATCTGTTCTTATATGTCAATTTGCTTTAGCAAAGGACTTCGCCCCACCCATCTCCAATGAACAGACCATATAAAACCTATGATCCTTAATTTACACCTCTTGACCAAGAGGTTCTCTGTTAATCCTCTACAGAAGCAGGATGGCTACTAGTTTGACTGACACACCTTTTAGCTCTGTGTTTGTACATCCCCTAGCACAGACAAACACATAAGCATTGGAATTAATGGTAACAACCTGGTAGCAAAACTATTGCCTGGTGGGAAGAGGGAGTCTCACTGGCATGGAACAACCTCCAACTACTTCTAAGTGTCCCTGATCACGCTTCAAGTTTCCCCCGAGATCTCTTTACAAATGGGATCATGACAGCTGGAGGAACCCTTTCTGGCTTTGAGGAGAATTTCAAATTCAAAGAACTGCCCATCAAAACAAAGATGTGGCTTTGGCAAGCTCAGACATAGTTTCCAAGAGGAGGCAACAAACTAGAGCTCATCAAGGGTTTTAAATGAGACAGTGCTCCTTAGGTTAGCCCTGGATGAGGCCAACGCTTCATGCTCCATGCACAATTGCAGTTGCCTACCCTTTCCCTTGTCTCGTTGGTGAGGAACTTGGCACATTCACTGTAGTTTGCCCAGGTGCGGTTGTTGCCCGGGACCAACTCCCAGCTCCCGTTCAGGTCACACCGGCGATAAGCATGGCCTGTGGGAGAGAAACCAGAAACACTAAATGGGACTACACCTGATAGAACAGGAGAAACCTTTTCCAAGGGTGGACCCCATCAACCGTGATGCGTCCGGCCTGCTTTGAAGTTCAGCTCCAAGAACACAATTTCCATCTCCTTATCGACTTTATCAATTTTCTAGCTGAGAAACACCAGAGAGCTAGTAATAAATTGCACTTAGTTTAAGATATTGGGTCTACAAACCAAGGAGAGAAGCTTTGAAAAGTCTCCCCAAAGCACAGAATCATCCTCAGAGTTGCAGCTCTCCCTGTGAAACCACAGTAATCTATATTATGCTGTGTTTTGTATACATATTTGGTGCATCTCAAGGTAAGATTTTTCTGTGGCTACCATCCTCATGATGATGAAGAAAAGAAGGCAAGGTTTCATCTCAGGATTCAGCTGGCAGATGAAAACATCCATGTTGAGATAGATGTCTGTGTGGAGGTATCATTGCACAAGCTGTGTGTAAAAAGTCCCACTACAGGTAACAGGAATGAAAACAGTCAAAAAGATCTGTCTGTCCCGTGACTACAGAGGGAGAGTTTATAGACACCTCTGCATCTAAGGGTTTTAATCTGACTCCCACCCTAGCTGACTTGGCCAGTGGACATTAGTGAGGTGGGGAATCCCTGCCCTGTTGGGTTATGGAGATAAAAAAGGGATAGATCCCCTGTTCCTCCTGGCCTCTAACGTGACGTGCATGTGCAGGGGTCTTTGCAAAAAGTCATCAGCCAAGGATTAAGCTGGCTCAGCTCACAGTCCATTATAGAAAAGGCAGGACAGACTATGGTCAACCAGGGTGCAATGGAATATCATTACTTGTTTTCTGAAAACAGCATCAGTGCTCTGCTGGGAACATATAGTCTTAATTCTCTAATTTTTCAGTCTTTGGTTGCATAGCTTTGCCTGAGAAAAGAGAATGCTTTAGCTTTGAAAATACACTGAGGGGCGAGTGTACTTCAATTGCTTCTAAAAACATGCACAGACTTTGTGGCACCACAAGCAAGCCAAGAAATGTGATGCCTGAGGGGAAGCGAGATAGGGAGGAATTCACATGTTCTGGTTACCAGTCCTGTTCTCAGATACCCACCGTAGGGGTCTGGGCACAGATCAGGGGCTAGAATTAACAAACCAGTGAAGTGAATAATATAAATTGGAAGAATATCTTGCGGGTTTCTATCGATACACAATGTTTGTGGCGTCAGACAAATTCAGGTTTGTAATGCTGCAAGACTACCCAGTTGTAAGCATGTAATCGGTGCTTATAATATTCCATAACAGTCTGGGTGGGGCAGGTGGGAAATTCATCATTGTTTAGGTTAGAACAAAGCTTTTCTTTCAGCATTTAAAAAAAATATTGGCTGTTTCTTAACTTCCTTTTCCCAGCTAATACCCCTGCTTGGAAGGGAGTCACCATGTCATTAAAAAAAAAAAAAAAAGGATGGTAAGAGGATTTCTAATTTTCTGACCCCCAGGCCCTTTTGACTCCCTTTGCTGCAGCTTACCAGGCTCTGCTGACCCTGAGGACAACACCTACCTTTGTGATTGAAGTCATAGATGTACTCTGGACATGGCATAGCCACCACTTTGCCTGGCACACCTTCAGGCCAGCAGACAATTCCATCCCACTCAGGAAGACAAAAGCCATCTGTGGAAGAGACACAAATGTAAAGAAGAGTCACTGGACCTGCAGAGGTGACACTAATGCCCCACTGTTTGGAGAGGGTTCTCCATGAAAAAGACAACAATGCTGACCATTTTTAGGCAACACTGTGATTTTCCTTAGTGTTTCGGTCCAGAAGGTGCAGCTTCTCCTGAGTTTTATTTCAGAGTGACATGAGATAATATCTGAGCACTCTTTGAGAGGAGTCAGGGATTCTGGGAAGTTGCTTTCCCTTCTGGGCTGGAAGCAATGAAAATGAGGCAGGAGAACAGAGTGGAGAACAGGAGGACTTAAGCGTTCAGGACTCTGTAGACTGACAGGCAACCTAGAGACGCCCAAGGGAGATTGCCTAGGTATCGCCTTGATACAACAGCACAGATTTGAGCCTAGGTTACCAGGGAGCTAGATTATGCTGTGGCTACATTATTGTGAGGCTCAAAGACACTGGTTCGTGCTTTCCTGAAAGGTACTCATGCCCACAGAGTAGATGGGCTGTGATTTAATACCTAGGGACCATTAATCCAAGTTCAACTAATTATTTACATCAGCCAGTGCTATGTTATACTGCGATGCTTTGTTGCTTTCTCAGATATTCTCGTGTGCCTTAATTTGGGTGCGCTTTCAAGTAACACTAAGACTAGCAAGAATCTATAGAGAGGTGCCTGTGGCAATATTTCTAACAAATAGAGAATATTTCATTACCTTGCTTTGTAAGGAGTGAAACAATGGAATTTACTGTTTCCTAAAGCTTTGCATCCTTTCCTATCTGACGTCCTTTTCACCCATGACTTCACCAGTCCTTATCTCCCCATTTCCCTGTGATGTCATCATGGAGCAAGAGGCATTAGAAGCACTGATCGATTTGGAGCCGTGCCCGTGCTGATCAGCCACCTGCTGCCAAGCACACTGTAGAATGGTTAGTTTGCACAACTTTTGTCCTGCTTACTCACTATTTTGGATTTCTTCCCTTTGCTCAGTCACAGGTTTTTCAGAAAAGGAGCAAAAAGGGAATGAGCAGGTGGAGAAATCACATGAGCCCCGTTGCCTTAGGAATGCAGCTATCATAGGAATTGTTTATCGCTCCCCATTGTCCCACTTAGCTAAACTCACTGCTATTTCTTAACCTTTTGAGAAGAGAGTGGTGAGGTTGTTGCTACAGGATTTTTCTTTAAATCATCCTTGTTCTCCCTTTCTGTTCTTTGAAGAAAGCTTAAATAGGTCTGAAGGAGAAAGCCTGCCTCCCCCATACACAGGTGTCCCTCTTCCCTCTGTGTCAGTTTATTTACAAATGTCTGTGGTTTATGTGCTTAGTGCAAGGAAAAGCAGAGATACAAACCAAGAAAAAAGTCCTTTCCCACATTTTCATAGAATCCTAGAATGGTTTGGAATGGAAGGTGCCATAAAGATCATCCACTTCCAACCCCCCTGCCCTGGGCAGGGACACCTTCCACTAGCCCAGGTTGCCCAAAGCCCCGTCCAACCTGGCCTTGAACCCTTCCAGGGAGGGGGCAGCCACAGCTGCTCTGGGCAGCCTGTGCCAGGGCCTCACCACCCTCACAGGGAACAATATCTTCCTTTTATTTAATCTGAATCTACCTTGTTTCGCTTTAAAGACATTACCCCTTCTACATGCCCTTGTAAAAAGTCCCTCCCCATCCTTCCTGTAGCCCCTTTAAGTACTGGAAGGCAGCTCTGAAGTCTCCCTGGAGTCTTCTCTAGGCTGAACAACCTCAATCCTCTCAGCCTGTCTTCATAGGAGAGGTGCTTCTATTTTTTCCCCAACCCCTTTTCTGAAAATCATCAAGTATATAAGTATCTATTTAAAGTTCTTTAATTGTCATTTTGCAGTTGTCCAGAACTTGAGAAGTGATTAAGCAGGTCTTCTATCAACCCCCAATTATGAGAATTATGAGAAGTTTTGCTTCTCTCTTCACAAATCATTCAAGGGCTCCAGAATCATGTTCTACATGAGCATATAGGCTAAGAGGGTCATGGAGGAGGTCTGCAGCCCATGGGGTTTGCCACCAGCCTCTGAAGCAGCAGAGTTACCAGCGATGGAGGCAGACTGCCCTAGGAGATGGGCTGCCCTCCCTCCCTGCAGTCTCATCTTCCTCATAATCTGTTCATCCACTCTGCAAGGGACAAAGACAGAACTTATATGTATTTAGAAGGATTGAGAATTCCTCTGGGATTCTTGAAAACTGTGGGAACTGACATAATCTTCAACACTGCTTTAAAAGAAGGACATCAAACCCCATTCCCTACTTCTCACATCCTTCCAGCTTGTCAGTCACCCATTTCTGCCACTTTTGATCCATAAATGCCCAGTCCCACAAGGGAACAATTTCCCATTCAGATGTGGATGTTCAACGTGGGCTGCATTTCCCATCCCTGAGGAAGGTCTATGCACCCAAATGTAACTTGGTGCTTACATATGCCTTTGCATTGGGCTGTATTAACTCCACCCACAGGTTAAAATCCAGCTGCAGTAGAGTTATCTGAAGAGCAAAACCAAGGAGTTTATCAGTAGCGTATAAAGTGTCTGAAAGACAGGAGGTACACGTGAATCAAAAGGAAACGGAACAGCCTCCTCTTATCTGCAAAAGAGCTCCACTAGTAAAGAAATTATAAGCGTGGCCAAGATCTCAGCATGTTTCATTAATATGAAAGCTAGTGCCTTAGCAATCTTTAAATGAAACAGTAATTTATCCTTTAGAATGAGTGTGCTTTCACAAGATTAACTACGAATCCAAGATTGCTTTAAAGACCTTTGGTTGGTGTGGTGCCCTCCAGAGTTGGAGCTGACAGTAATTAATTCAGTTTGCTGGTATTTTAGGACATGAAAAACAGCAGAAAAACTCATTGCTTAACAGCTGATATCTTATGCTTAATTTAGTGATGATAAAAAGAACCAGACTAATCACTGCTTGTCTTCTAAAGCATTACCTGAGAGTGAGGGTAGAGGAGCTAAAATTCTTCCAACATCGGCGTGATAAAAAGGAGGAAGAAATTTATTGCATTTTTCTCTGCTTCCAACCACATTAGAGGAAGAAAAATACTAGATTTCCTATTTGTGAAAAATGGGAAAGCTCTTCCCTTTGGCTCATTCTGTTGCAGGATTACTTACACTGTGAAAAACAGTTTATTTATTTTTCAGTTCTCTGGAAGGATCAAAAGAAAATGGAAAAAAATGGTGTCATGCAAGATTTGGATTAAGACAAAATGTTATTGTCTCTGAGGTGTTTTTTTTTTTTTTTTTTTTTTTTTCAGACAAGAAAGTAAATAAAGATTTCATTTAGCCCTCAGAGTGGTCTTACTTAAAATAAACACAATTCTTTTTACAAAATAAATAAATTTGGGTAAACTTTAAAATGAATGCTGTGGAGAAACAGCACTGAGGAGAAAATAATTCATCCGAATGTCATGCTCTGTAATGCTGAGAAAAAAACCCTCCACTTTTCTAAGATCTTCAGATGAGCTTGCAAAGGTCAACCTTCACTTGCAAGTAGTTTCATTTAGTATCATACTGCAATGTTTGTCCAGAAAATAATGTGGGAAAGTATCTGGTAGGCACACTCTCCTTGTGCTGTAAACATACACACACAAACATTTGCAATGGACTCATTCAAAAGAAAAATGGATGTTTTCTGGATAACAGAATATGCGATCATTTCTTTTTGGGTACTTTGATCATCCGATTCCACCCAAAAAGCAAAGGGTTGAAGGCTCTGTGCAGGCAGCACTAGGCAAACTGGTGTCGGGACACTTCTGGACCTCTGCTTTATCATGTGGACAATTTGGAGAGCCATCAGCTGCACCAGAAATTTGAGATAAAAATCATCTTTTCTGCCTCTCAGTGGATCTGAAATCTTTCTGTGCCTCTGTGTATTGACCTGTGGAACTGATTCATTAAAACCTATGAGGATCTCAATCTTCAGAAAGTATCTGAGTCTCCCAAGGAAAGACACAAATGAATCTGTCATCATTATCACGAAGTGTCACAACACAGAGAAACCTCTTTAACCTCCTCTCTATTTCACCGTCATCCCCTTCTCCTCTCTCCCCACTCCATACGTGGAAAGACCACTTCAGACAAGTTTGAAGGAGAAATAAGACATGTAGGTCATCATTTCCTTCCTGCAAATTTTGAGGTGATTGATGATTAGTAGAGGAAAAAGCAGGTGAATATTTGTCAGCTGCCACCTGGCTAACCAGCCTTTGTTGACTGATCAGACAACTAGCACATGCATAGTTTAAAATTAGGCACAGCGTGGCTGTTTCTTGCCAACCCAGGGCACCATGGGGTCAAAAGGAGAGAAATCGGGTTGGGAAGAGGGACTGCAGTTATTGTTTCACATCCTCAGGTCAAGCCAGGTGCCTTTGGACTTCCCCACTGCAGAATGAATTAAGAAGTTCCTACATTGACTGAAAATCTTGGAAAACATTTTTCAAATGGAAATATTGACTGACGTCAGGACCAGCTACAATTTGTAACTGTTGGATCTACATTCCTGGGTTTTAATGTAGCCAAGAGCTGTTTCTCCCCTCTACGTCATGTCTGTTGTCCCAGACAGGAGCCCCACCATCGTTCTCCCACTCCTATCTCTAATACCTCCATTCTTCTCCTCTAAAGAGACAAATCATCGGCCTTCTGATATGATAAGGGGTCTTGGTTTTAAACTAAAAGAAGGTAGATTAAGACTAGATATAAGGAAGACATTTTTTATGCCGAGGGTGGTGAAACACTGGCACACATTGCCCAGAGAGGTGGTAGATACCCCAACGCTGGAAACATTCGAGGTTAGGTTTGAGGGGGCTCTCAACAACCTGATCTAGTTGAAGATGTCCCTGCTCATTGCAGGGTTGGACTACATGACCTTCAAAGGTCCCTTCCAACCCAAACCATTCCATGATCCTGTGATTCCCCACATCCCTTCCTCCCTCCTTTACTCCACCCCATGTTTCTTCTGGCCATAGAGCTATGT